TAGTAGATCTAGCTATGTAAGTTTTTATTACATTTTTAAAAGACCAAGAGTATGTTTTTTTGTGGTTTGTTGTTGTTGTTGTTGTTGTTCGTCTCTGCCTAAAGCTATCGACCCCAGTAGTATCATAGTGAGATTTGCAATCCCGACTAAAATAATAACTGTCATTAACAGGACAACGGTACCATTGTCTTATTTCCTACTCCCCTTTCCCCCTTAATTCTTGCTTGATTTTTACACTTTATTCACTAACGTGTTGCCAGACTACCATAAACAATTATGGGGATCAAACATGTTAAGTTCTTAAATAAACAGTCAGTCCTTATCAGATACGATTTTCTGTTTTCTCTTTCTTTTAGTATATAATCCAGCACCGTTTGCTCTAGATTTGGGAAATTTGAAAAATAGGGCATCATCCTATTTGAACGAGGAATTATGAAGTCGAAACGTTTGTGGTGGTCTATGAATTCAGCTGAAAGCCCAAGTTTCTCCTTTAATCTGTTAGTCTAAGAACTGAACGGGAAGGATATATACGTGTAGCTAGGCTACTTTTTTTCCTTCACTTTCTTTCAAATAGATCTTAACATTGTACTTCTCTTGTTTGTACACATGTAGTAAGTTCAAGCAATTTGGATGAATCATAATTATTATTAAATATTTTTTCCGAATTGTTCTATAAACGAGCGTACCGTTGAAAAAACCGGAAGAAGACTGTCGCCGTTTGTCAACAACGACGGAATCAAAAACCGACCATGGCGGCCCAAACGACTGCTGATGAAGTCTGTAAATATGCCTATGAGGGGAACTTGGCTGTTTTGAAGCTGAAAATACAGGGGAATAATTCATTTTCATCCCGGAAAGACACTGTGAGTTTTAAGCTGTCTGCTTCATTTTGTAATTAAGATAATTTGTGTTGATTTCACAGCAGACTGAGAAGATGACATTGAGTTGCAGTCTGTGTCTAATTATTAGACTAATATAGTAACTTAACTCTTATCCTGCGTCTGTGCCCAGATGCGTATCTTATCAGCAACCGATTACGTCGGACTCGCCGGGCTGGCCGCCGGGGTCACTCAGTGTGTACTGTTGGTGTACAGCGCGCGCGCCGGGAAACGTGTGTTTTCGCCATGAATACCGCGGGAGTGTGTTAACTGATGATGAAAATAACGCTCTATCCTTCGCCTTCATTTTCATAGCATTCTATTTATAAAGTGTTACAAACACATGAATAACCCCCTCTCACAAGCTGATAAGACATTACGAGTAGTTACGCCCATTTGAATAACCTTTCTGGACGCTCTTGTTGTTATGAATGACCTGAGGTTCGAAAAGGGATAATTTAGGTCAATTTCCGAATGTTTTACACTCAAATTGTTCTTTGTACCTGCACAAGGGTATTCAAAACTATCAAACAAGCTCATTTTTTATCAGGTAGATCTAGTATTATTTCATACAAAATCAAGCTCATTTGAAATATTTTGTATAGAAAAAATGGAAGTCTTGTTTCCTGACTATCCTTTCGAGCTCCTCATGTCTAAGTGGGTCAATTTCTTCTATAATTTCATTGGATGAACATCTAGAGCTATCAACTTGGCATGTTTTGAATGAGACGTATGCCTCGATTACGAACCAACGCAGGTGGTTCTAGAAGAAGGCCACAAACGCACACAAACTCAAGCAGACTGACGCACACACACTTGACCTGCGTGAATGGGGATCCGACTCGGGACCCGAATGACACGTAAGAGGATGCGCGTGCGCTGAGCCAGAAGCTATACTGACTCGGGACCAGAACGCAGGCGAGGTGCCGAAATAGGCTTATCGGGCTACATAAACCCGGCTCCCGCAGGATGAGGGTTAATAGTCTAGATTCTAGATCTAGAATCTAGAGTCTAGATCTCTAGATCTAGATCTAGATCTAGATTTAAATATCTAGGTCTAGAGTAATCGTACCGGGTCGGGCAGCACTTTTTTTTCTAGCTGTCGGGCACTGGAGTACAAAAAGATAGTTTAAAACTTTGTTTTTAACCCTCATCCTGCGGGAGCCGGGTTTATGTAGCCCGATAAGCCTATTTCGGCACCTCACCTGCGTTCTGGTCCCGAATCAGTGTAGCCCCTGGCTCAGCGCACGCGCAGCGCACATCCTCTTACGTATCATTCGGGTCCCGAGTCGGATCCCCATTCACGAAGGTCAAGTATGTGTGCGTCAGTCTGCTTGAGTTTGTGTGCGTTTGTGGCCTTCTTCTAGAACCGCCTGCGTTGGTTCGTAATCGAGGCATACACGTCTCTTTCAAAACATGCCAAGTTGGTAACTGTAGATGTTCGTCCAATGAAATTATAGAAGAAATTGACCCACTTAGACACGAGGAGCTCGAAAGGATAGTCAGGAAATACAAATACAAGACTTCCATTTTTCTATACAAAATATTTCAAATGAGCTTGATTTTGTATTAAATGATACTACCTGATAAAAAATAAGCTTGTTTGATAGTTTTGAATACCCTTGTGCAGGTACAAAGAACAATTTGAGTGTAAAACATTCGGAAATTGACCTAAATTATAATATCCCCTTTCGAACCTCAGGTCATTCATAACAACAAGAGCGTCCAGAAAGGTTAATTCGAATGGGCGTAACTACTCGTAATGTCTTATCAGCTTGTGAGAGGGGGTTATTCATGTGTTTGTAACACTTTATAAATAGAAAGCTATGAAGGATAGAGCGTTATTTTCATCATCGGTTAACACACTCCCGCGGTATTCATGGCAAAAACACACGTTTCCCGGCGCGCGCGCTGTGTGTACACCAACAGTACACACTGAGTGACCCCGGCGGCCTGCCCGGCACGTCCGACGGAATCGGTTGCTGATAAGATACGCATCTGGGCACAGACGCAGGATAAGAGTTAAATCTAGATCTAGACCTAGATGTAGATCTAGATCTAGAGTCTAGCCCCCAAAAGAGTGGCACACAAACAAACCTAAAGCAACCGGTGCTTTTTCGGTAGTTCCCACCCCCCTTATTTGAGCTTGACCTACGTCTAGATCTATGCGTTTGATTCGTGGCGAGCTAAGATATCAAACCTAACAACTGCAAAACATTAAATTGTGGTAAAATTCAGGGGGGCATGCCCCCCTGAAACCCCCCACCTTATTTGTGTTAGGTCAGGGGGGCAAGCCCCCCTGAAACCCCCCTACTCTTTGGGCCAAAACCCGTGAATAACAATTGCGGGGTGGGAACTACCG